ACTATTTTAACTTTCATGTGTTAGTTTTTAGGAATTTGTTTCGTCTCAATTTCGATCACAGGTTGATTTTCCCTGGATAAGCTTTTCAGAGTTTTAGTGAGAAGTTGTGAACAGTAGATTGGACCAGGTCGAAGGTGAGAACAAATACTCACTCATGAAAATTGTCTAGTGGTCACGATAAAATCACTAATTTGTAGAGGTTGGGATAACATGGACCATTGAATTGGATCCCAGTGACTGAATGGTCAACGAGATAGCTTTGTAGCCGGAAGGTCCCAGTTTCGAACGCTGGTGAGTACATACTATTGAGGAATCCCCAACTAGGACGAAACAGCTGTTTCTCTAACTGATATCAGTTTGTGATCAAAATTGAAATTACTCCCTTACTTGAAGATGCTGGACGAAAAGAAATTATTATGCAGTAATCTCCCTGAAACACTGCCCAGAATAAAGCCGCTATTATTATTACTGCTCACCATACTATCTCCACTACTCACTTCTTCTACTATTACCGCTACGACTATCGCCAATGTTTACAGGAGTAAAAGATATTGAACACTTTTTAAAACAGAAACTGTCTTAAAACTGTCGAATCCACTATCATATCCTATCCAGTCGCATACTGTGGGTTTTTTACTTCCCGTTGTGAATTTCATTTGAGATATTGACAATAATCTATAATGACAGCTATCAACAGATATTCAATTGTATGTGAAACATAAAATGTACACTGTACAAACATATATGCACACACGTACACACCAACACACCTCATGACAGTGATACTACTACTACTAATAATAATAATAATAATAATAATGGCTAATTTATTATTATTATGAACATGAACTCCATTCACTCAGTCATTCAGCCAGTCAGTCAGTTAATAATCACTCATTCATTCAGTTTTCCACTAAATTTTAATATTATTTATTGTCATGTGATTATTGATTGGTTTTCTTATGTGTATGTATGTACAAATTTGAAACTTTTGTAAGCCTTCTTCTATACACATTAAAAGACAAAACCTGTCTAAAATGTCAAATATCTTTAATAAGTCTTTTTCTCTGAACAAAATAAAACCACGCTCAGAGTATACACGGATAGTTAGTCAGTTGGTTAGCTGGCTAGTTAGTTAGTTAGCTGTGTGCATAAATGTTTTGTCTGTTGTGTGTGTGTGTGTGTGTGCGTGCACAGAGTGAGATGTAGGATAGATATCGTGTCGACTATTAATCGAAAGTTTGTTGTATTAATATTCAATATTTTTCATGGTAAAAAGTCTAATCGATTTTGTATTCGTATATAATAAATTTCTAAGTATTGGAGTGTTTGTTGGCTTTGTAGGAATTTGCTTGATTGTTCTCCACGCTGGGCTATACCACGAATTGATATGCGTTAAAGGAAACTATGCACTGGACCACAGATGAGAAGACTCTAGATGATCTGGATTCCACGTGTGGATGATATAATATGTCTAATGTCACATAAACTCGAAGACTAACTGGTGAAAACTGACTAACTGCCAGAAGAAGCAGGTGGAGAAGACAGGACTCCAGGTGAATGTAGAGAAAACGGAGGTGATGAAAATAGACAACAAACAAACAGCAACATCTACAATCAGCATCAATCACCATCAACGAGAGAGAGAGAGATGTGATAGAAGTTACCTCCTTCACTTATCTGCGAGCATTGTGTCAACCACAGGTGGAACGGATGAAGACGTCAAAGTCAGAATTGGAAGGGCCAGATACACCCTTATTTAGCTAAAACCAGTTTGGAAATCTTCTGCGCTAACTCAACATCAAAAAGAAGATTCGGATTTCCAATACAAGTGTGAATTTGGTCACCGCTTCTATATGGGTCAGAAACTTGGCCAGAGTGTCTCGAAAAGGATTTACAACAGGTTGAAGAATTTCATCAATAGCTGCCAACTTCACCGGCTCCTTACTTAAGATCAAATGGCCAACAAACCAACCAAGAGGCGATCGCTCAACAAATATGTAGGATTAAATGGAGACAAATCGGGTATACATTGAGGAAACGGTTGAATGACATCACGCGCCAGGCCATAGCTCGAGCGGAATCCAAATTAGAAGCGGTGAGTGGGTTGTCAGTGCAAGGGTGACATGGAGGAGATTGTGTAGTGAGGAGGGGATGAGCGATTGTGGGCAATCGTGACCCAAGCTTAAGAGAACGGCAAAAGATATGAAAAGGTGGAGATGTGTTGTTGAAGCCTCATGTTCCACTCGAAACTCAAGGGAATAATTATTTTTACGAGTTGACCACGGATAGATATCAGTTAGAGAACCATTAAAAATCAGGCACAGGGAGTACTGGACAGCAGTTTCATTCTAGTTTGGGAATCATCGGCAGTGTGAACCCACTGGGGTTCGAACCCAGAACCTTTCGGTCACAAACCAACTATAGGAATAATTATTATCTTTTTAATTTAAAGGAAACTATGAAAACCAGGGATGGATTACTACAGGCAGATGTTTTCTTCAAGTTTGGGACATTTCACCAGGATACATCCATAACCCTGTCAGGGGTTGAACTTAGGAACTTCAAGTTGATCATTCAGACACCGGAATGAAATTCCGCTTTCTGGTCACTAGTAACTGAATATAAGATGAAATCACCTGAAGTTCTAGTGGGCTATCATGACAAGTAAGGTATACCAAGTCGGGTTTAAGGATAGATAATCAACGATGACATTGAATGTCAGTGGAGTTATACATCGCAGGCTTGTCAGATGTTAAAAGTCATCAGTTACTGGGTTTTATCACAGTATATGAATGGTCAGCGGACTCACCTTGCAAATAGAAGGTCCTGTGTTCGACCCCCAGTGCAATTATAGGAGCTTAATGCTGTACAGTTCCACATTAGGATGAAATAGCTGTTTAGTACTCTCTGGTTTTCAATTCAGAGTTCATTATTATGTACGTATATGTGTAGATATATTAATTCTCAGCAAGTAAAAGTGTTATAATGATTTGTTTTATTTCATAGAAACTCCACGGCTTAAAGACGAAAACTAACAAACTAGCAGAAGAAGCAGTTAGTGAAGACGGGACTCCAGGTGAACATAGAGAAGACGGACGTGAAGATAATCAACCGAAAACAACCACTACCAGTCACTGCAAAACTGGAGAGCTTTGAAAGAGGTTATTTCCTTCACCTATCGAGAAAGCAGGAGGAACAGATGAAGGTGTTAAAGCTGACCAGAATTGGAAAGGCAAGATACGCCTTCATCACCAAGAAATCACTTTGTAACTCTTCCACACTCTGCAGCATCAACAACAAGATTAGGATTTTCAACACTAACGTTAAGTCAGTCACTTCTTCTGTGTGTGTGTGTGTCGGAAATATGACACGCGCATTACGAAGAGTCTTTCCAACAGGTTAATGCAGAATTTTATCAACAGCTGTCTTCGCTGGCTGCATATTAATCATCAGATGGCCAGAAAAAGTTCGAAACAAAAAACTTCGCGAACGAACCAATCATGAACCAAGCCGAATGAAATGGAGATGTACTGAGCACACATTAGGGAGGCCATTGAGTGACATCGCACTTTAAGCCTTTGTTCGAGTGGAACCCGAATATAGAACGACCAGTTGGGTGGATATCCGATGATGACATGGAGGAGATCGTATGAGGAGAAGATCGGAGATTATGGAAAATTGTAGGGTCAGCTGAAGAGAATTGAAGAAAATAGAACAAAGTGGAAACGTGCTGTCGAAGCCTCATACTCTACTCGAAACCCAAGAGAACAATTATAATATAATAATTACCTAGTACCTGCCTAGTGTCGACTGAATAAAGATAAGAGTCTCACTATTGTAATGACTTGGGACAAACATTAAGAATTTAGATTGTGAGATTTGTGGAGGATGTGAATTGACTTAATGTGAGTTGTCAGATTTCATTACCAATGACCATCATTTAGAAAGATCATTGAAAACCAGGGACCAATGGACACCTTTTCATCCTATTTGGAGCTAATTAATGAGCAGTGCCCACCTGCGACCCTAACAGTTGTCAAACTTGGGATTTTTAAGTTACAATATCAATTTTGTGGACTACTCAGCCACTTGGGCACCGGTATTCAGCGACCCATGAAATCTGACTTTGTCAACTCGTGATTTAGCGCTATCCTCATCGATGCCTACAAAGAGCATCGATTTCACTTTGATGTGGTGGACCCCACTGATCATGACTTCTGAGCACATACCCTTAGGACATCCATCTAGTAGCAATCAATAATCTGGAGATTAGTATTCAAATTGTGTGATTTTTAGGGATTTGGATTTAGGTTCCAGCTTCATCAACATTGGTCAGGTCGTCGTTGAAATACTGGAAGGACTGACTGATCAGTTAAACCGACTTAGAGACGTTTTCATTGAACTCTTCAGTTACTGCTAAGCACTAGACAAAATGACTTTAATTATACCCTGCTGACAGTCACGAAGAAAGTCAAATACTGTCTCCTTAACTCAGTGGTAATATTTGTAACTTGTGAACTCAGTGAATAGAGCTCGAGGTTATATATTTGCCCTCTATTCACAAGTAACAACAGGTTCACAATTTTCTGAGTTTTATTTTCAAGCATGTAGCCTATTTCGTATCTGCGTGTGTATACATGAAACTCATGACGGATATGTGCACTGAAGTAATACACATAAATATTATAGCGTGTATAGACGTGCAATCAGATTTTTCCATTCATTTGTGTTCTGAATGGAACATTGGGCTTCAGGTCTTGAAGCCTTGAGGTTTCAGTAACGATGTTATCGTTCTTACGGGATGTGGTTGCCATAGCCCCACACCTAACCTTCCGTGTTTTCTGGTTTTAATATCGGCTAGGAGACGTTTAGGTTTGCATCAGACAGGAATCGAACTAGGACCACATGCGTGGATGGTGAACAATTTCCCCCTCCCAGTTAGTTATCTGTAAATCTAGATGTAGCACACCATCTCTGAGGAGAGATTTTAATATATGTTATACAAACAGATATAGTGAACTCACCTCTAAACCTGCTTCTTCTTGTGTTTCATGATTGAATGCATTCGGCATATAGGTTAAATTATAACCGATATTTTTACACAATGGTATTTCAATTGGAATACATTTCTCTGGTCGAAGTAGCTTGTCATTATCGTTAGCACCGAGTAAAGATTGACCTGAAATAGTTTGATGGTAGCCTGAGGATAAAGATGACGACGGGACTGACGATGAAGATGACGAGGATGCAGACGAAGCTGATGAAGATGATGCCGACGGACCGGACATGAGATGATTGGAATTCATTGAATTTTCTCTACTACTGCTTACACCAGCATTTTGTAAACTTGATCGTTTCATACGTTTCAAAAAGGATGAAGCACTTTTTATAGGGGGTATAGAATCAGTAATATCATTCTCATGATTAAATATTTGAATATGACGATTATTATTATGATTGACATGTTTATTGAACTGCTGAACATCATGATTGGCGCCATTTACAATGCCGGGTGTTCTAAACAAAATGATAATTTCCAAAAATATTGTAAGGATAATCCTCATTTTTTTTAAAAAACAGATAACTTCTGATTTATTGATTTATCGATAGATTGAATGTTTGCTTGTCTATGTTTTTGAGGATAATTTAGAAAGGGGAGTAATTTTGTTGTTAGGCGATATCTACAAGAAGAAAAGAAAAATGCTTTAATAAAGGGCTACTAAAAAGTATCTTCAAAAGTATGAAGTCTTTTTAGGTACATTACTTTCATTTAATTGTAGTTGTATTCTCTGAACTGGATCGAATGTTTTCATTGAGAAGGTATCATTGATTATCCTTCTAGAACAACGTCATCAGTTATTACTTCAAAATGAAGTGAGTTTTGTGTTAGGATTATTCATGAATAATGGGAGTGTCTTTCCTGATGATCTTTAGTATAACTGGATGTTCTGAAGGAGACTAGCGGCTTTGTGGTTAAACCGTTCATCATTCCTGTGACAGTTTCGTCTTGACATCATTCGTTTTATGAAAAGCACATTCAGAAAGAACAGATTGAGTGAAGGAATATATTCCTTTTCAGTCAGTTCCTCATCATCGGCTGACTCTACACACATATATATATATACAGTTTTTCATATTAAAATTTTCACCAATCAGTTGGTCATTTTAATTAACGAGTTTTAGGTATGGGGGTTGTTGCTGTGAGATTAAGAGGTTAAGAGTCATCCAAACAATTTACAAATAGATGTTTTTTTCCCTTCACGTTCCCCAGTGGAACATAGGGCTCCAAGCTAGTGGCTTGAAGTTTCTGCAGCAGCGTTCTTCATTTTACAGGATGGTGTTGCTAGCCTCATGCACAACCTTTCCTCTTTACCAGCATTATTTCTGGCTTAGCGAGGTTAAGGAGTGCGTCCGTGGCCGGGGATCGAACCTCAGACCATGTGCATGGTCGGCACCTCTGTGCCACCGACGCACCTAATAGATGTTAGTAACAAGATATCTAAGTTTTGAAGAAGGGGTGAAAACTAATTAATTCAAGATAAGTTGGTTCATAGGAATTAGCAACAGGTTATTACATAATCAAGAAATTTGTGAAATAGCAATGATGACTAAGAAGAATAGGATGACTCAGAAGAGTAACCTAAAATACAAACAAGTTAGTAGAATTAGCTAGAATTGTAAAAATAACAAAGTCAAAAGATAGTTAATATATGTGTAAAACTTGGGCACTGTGGTTTTAAGTAATTCCATATTAGTTTGATTATTAAATGTATCACACAGTGAAACAGTATTGTATACTGGATGACGTTTCGAACACAATTTATTGTTCATAATCAAATCTACTGCCCATACAACAAATAGGAGAAGACAGAGAAAACTATAAAAATCAAATCTCGAAGTCGTGTGACAAAAATTGATATGATTATGAACAATAAATTGTGTTCGAAACGTCATCCAGTATGCAAAAGATAGTTAGTTAGAAGAGAAGGGGTAAAATCATTTTTAAACAGCTTAATACACTTTATATAGTTGGTCATGGCAAAGAAAAGGGCTGTATGCATTTCTTTAGAACATACAGATTTGGCTTGCGCGGGTGAATTTTGATTGCCACTGTTGTGTGTAAAAGTCGTCCTCGTGGATCATGCGAGTGGTTGGGTGAAATACGATAAATAAGTTTAAAAGCTTTGTTAGAGTCGACTTAATGTACAGTATTAATAATATTGAAAGGGAATATATTTCTCCGCTCAATTCATCATTTTTCTAAATCCATAAATGGGAATTTCGAAATTACATTCAGAAAGTACACTTAACAGGCTACCTTTGACTTTTTTTTATTACAGCTTGATTCTACACTGTATTTTTGGTACAAGTAGGGAATTTTCAGCATGGACATCGGCAGTTCAAATTTTGTAGGCCGACCATAGATATCAGGTGTGCGTCGGCAGGGGATCGAACCTCGGACCATGTGCATGGTCGGCGAGAGTCCTAACCACTGTGCTATTGACGCACACACTTTATGTGTGGGTCCGACGGTATTTGGACAGTCAAGAAGCCAGACAAAAAAGACAACAGTGGACCGAGTACAATGTGGATGTCCGATAAAGAAAGCCATAGATAAATCATCATAGTAATAATGATAATGACAGAAATATATTCAATGAGCCATTTTTTGTGTATGCATGTGTAAACTTTCGACAAGTACAGCATACTGTGAGTGAATGTAGAAGATCGATAATTTGCTTCTTCACTTTTACCACCTACAAATGAATATCCCCATTTTATCGGGAAAATACACTTTTCTTTTTAGAATTAATAAATATTCAATCGAATAGCTCTCAGAGAACAATCAGTGTCCACCATTTACTTCTGTAGAATATCAGCCATATCCAGAAAAGCCTGCTGACGAACTCTAAATGAGTCATTATGATGATGATGGTGACGGGTGGTAACCGGCGAGAAGCCCTAAAATGAGGCTTCTTATTGATTTCAACATGCCAACAACAAACTAATCCACCTATTAGTTAGATTTTTTTGTTATAAAATCAAAAGCGATACATAATGACTGGATGAGACCTTGAGTAAAATTCTTAATAAGGCAGGAATTAGGGTGGCGTTTGAACCAACTCGACTTGAGGGCTCGACAGATTCAAATAACGGAGATGATATGACTTGGCAGATATTATGTAGTGATTTTGGGGTCAATTACATGTGTTAAACTAGTAGAGTAGGGTTAGTCAAGTTATCAAAATATCACGAATTTACCTAGAGCTAAAATGATTGACTCGATTAAACTAAGTAATTCACACAAAAAATGCGACCATTGCACTCCATTCACTTAGATATAATCACAATAAAAAGGGAGAAAAAGCCTAAAAGTACTGAAAATTAATGTTGTCAGGTGGGGAGAGAAAGAGAAGGAGGTTAATCACTGGACTCTTGTTCACTGAATTCATATCAAACACTTGCACTAGGAATGAAACAACATAAACTAAAATCAAAGGAAAAAAATTATGGAACTGTATAAATAAGCAATCCAAAGTTATATGAGTGTTTGAAACTTTATCAATGGAATGTAGAAGTTCTTGTCTTATATCAGTGACACATTCATCACATTTGTATCCTACTCAGAGGTTATATTTCCACTCACTAGCTTAATACTATATCGTTAACTGACTGATTGACCTATTGATCCTGTTTACGCATAAAATAGACGCTGGATTCACCTGTACAATGTTCGTCAACCACGCATATGACCAAGGGCCCAATCCCCAACCGATTCATTTCCAAGCCTCGCCTAGTTTACTAAACGAAAGTAACTCAGGAATAAGAGATGGAAGGTTGGAGAGATGCTTTTGTTTGATTGGTTGGAGGATTTCATCAACGGCCGTGCAGTACTCCCAGGTTTTCCAGTTGTTCTCTAACTGATGTCAGCTCATGATGAAATCCTCCAACCTTCCATTTATGTTTTTATTATTTTCTTACTCTAAAAAAGTAGGATAGTGAAAGTTAACTCCAAGATTAATCACGAGATGACATCAGTTTGAGAACCAGGGAGTACTAAACAGTTGTTTCGTCCTAGTTTGGGACTCCTCTTCAGCATGCACTGACTGTTGTTCGAACCAGGGAACTTCCAGTCAAATGACAAGCTCGTAGACCATTCATCCACTAGGATGTGATCCCGTGGTCCATGAATTCCAGCCAATATATCAGGTCCTAGTGGATGAATGGTCAACGAACTCCACCAGTCCTCAGTTCGAAGTCAAAGAGTTTGTGATCTATCTTATAAACGAACAAAACCATGGAAACAAACACTTAAAAAGTTGATTATTTTTCAAAAGTTCTCATGCCTTCAGTCTCACTGAACAATGAACTGGTCATTAAAACAATCCAAAACAAAGCTATCCATCCACCTATTCATAAATACACATACATACACACACACGCAAACACGAACATATATCTATATCCACCGATCACTTTTGAAAGGCGTTAGGGATAAGTCAAGTGGGAAAAGTGGAAAGAGAAAACTTACTACTTCCATATTAATTATTACTATTATGATTATGATTATACTTTAAAATGAAACACGCAAACTCAGTCAGATGTAATATTTAAAAAAAACGTAGGAGAACTTCTAATATGTTTACCTGTCAATTACCTATCCATCTTGCATTAAAATAGCTTCTTGAATTTTTGTGGACACGCACACACTTGTACACCCAGACACCCAACGACCCATTCACACACACATAAACACACTACATACACACGAGTGTAAGTGCGTAGGCACGTACCAATTCGTGAATACAACTTTCAACCTCTTATTCCTGTTTCAACCAAACATATATATATGCATATATATGCCAATCAATCTGGAGAGAAAAAGCCCAATGTGGAAAACTGTAATGAATGGCTGCCTAACTCATTGACTGACTGACTGTCTAATTAACTGACTTAAGATATATTAATATATATGGTGGCATATGGGACTATACTACTTAAATGGTAAAAGTCAAGTAGTTTAAATCGTTGTCAAAAAAAACTACTCAGAGCATGGGGTGGCGGTGGAAAGAGGTAGACTGGGTGGATGAAGAATAGGCAAAGAAAATTATAAATAAGTGAAGCCATGAAAAAGGACTATCAACCTGAACAGTAATGACAAAACACAGAGGGAAAAAAACAGCGAGAATCTATCACGCACACAAAGTGAGTGTGTAAAAGATGGAGTTGAAGTAAAATCAAGGGTATGAGGATTTTTTTTTGATTCACAGCTTGATTCCACACTGTATTTTTGGTACAAGTATGGAATTTTCAGCATGGATATCGGTAGCCCAAATTTCGCAGGCCGACCATAGATATCAGGTGTGCGCCGGCGTGGGCTCGAATCCCGGACCATGTGCATGGTCGGCGAGAGTCCTAACCACTGTGCCACCGACGCACATAAGGAGTTTGAGTGGTCACTCACTCACAGTATCTTATTCAGCAAGAAAGAGCATATAATTACCCTCAGTTATAATGAAATAGTTTTAATTTTAAGAGAGAAATTAAAATCGAGAAATGTACA